GTTAGTTTTGAGATTCGAATTCGCATCGGTAGCTTGGAAGGTAAGGGGTTATAGTCGACGTTGATTCATTATTTTTAACGTCGTTGATTCATTATTTTTAACGTCGTTGATTCATTATTTTTAACGTCTTTAATTCAAAATTGAACGTGAAACTTTGTTTTCATTCAGCTATTTTATGATAGATCATATCTAATAGTGTGGGTTAAAATTTAAAAATTTAACCTAGACAATTTTCATATGTCAGAAACAATTTTTTTCCTTCTTTTGCCTTGAAATTCAAGTCACATATTATTAAAGGATATTTATATAAAATTAAACTAAAAATCATATTCATTTTTATAAATATTTTGACTTTAAAATATTTAAATTTTGAAAAAGTGATAATTGTGTGAATATTTATGTATAGAGAAATACGGGAATCTTTCATTGTGCGGTTGTGCGCGTAACACGAACAATATATTCTATGTCATTATATAAGTGGAGGGATGTTTTATTGTTTAAGTTGTTAATTTTTAATACAAGCATCTCATTACTTGTATTATAATGACACGTCTTTATTTCGAACACAGAAAAATCTCTATAGAAATAAAATGATTTATACAACAGAAGAAATCTAATCTCTAACACTATGTTAAGACGAGGAAAATAAATTTGGGATTTAGATAAAAGTCAGAATTTATAAATTGACATGCACCAATTCCCTTGTTTAAATTCATAAATAGAAATTTATAATTTTCCCAAGTTTAAATTCCATGTAAATTAAATAGGTGTATTTCTAAATTTCTACTATTGAGAGTTTAAAAATATTAAATTTTGTATTCAATTCCATTATTCTTTTAGATTAACCAAATAAGAAAATTCACAAATTTTAGAAAATAAAACTCCGTTATTTCAATTTACCTTATTTTAAAATTTATTAATATCTTAAATTTCTTCATCCAAATATAAGGTAATAATCTTAATTTTTTTTATCCATGTAAGTTTAATGATTCCCAATTCATGCTAATTACATTTAGGTCCTATAATCACTATTCAAACCGTTCCAGGCTCCATTGATTGTACGAAGCTTAACCGCTCTCAAGGTATTCGCTTTACCCTAACTCTTTGTTTGGTTTCCGAGAATTCCTAAGAAAATAGAATTGAGAGAAAGAAAAGGAACATCAACGGGGCCTGAGATTGAGAAAATATGGAGGAAATGTTGGCAATTTTTCTTTCTATGCTTCTTGTTTTGGGATTAATTCCACTATTTCTATGGAAACGCCGTCAAGATTCTCGATCTTCGCATGAACACGAAGAAGAACCTCAGGTTTGATTCTTTGAGCCCTAATTCGGCGGCAGCGTAATTGTTTTTAGTTATATAGATTTTTTCTGGATTGTTCATATTGATCTAGGTTGCTCAGAGGGAGGCGGTGGTGCGTGCGCCTGGCGGTCGCTGGATCCGTAGGAGGCCGGCTTCTGGAGCAAGCACATCAGCTGCTGCTGCACCAGGTGTAGAAGGTTTGTGTTTTACTTTGAAGTGACTAAATTTGATTTTATATTAGTAAGAGATTGGATTAAGTTCATGAGTAATTGTGACTCTGCTGTTTTGTGATGTTCGTTTCTCTTTGATTCGAGAAGCGATTGTAATTGATTGAATTGTGATTGAAATAGATATCATCAACTGAGCATCTCAGCGGCGGGATTGAATAAATTGGTAAGCAGTGGCGAGATAATCTGGAACGAAAATATAAGCAACCGTATCTGTGAGAGATAAAGGTTTGATCAAATTAGGATTTGGGGTGATGATGGTTTACATGGTTTGATCTGTTGGGGTAGACCGATGATTATTTCCAGAGAGGAGTCATAAGGTTTATGGATTCATGAGGAGGGTACAAAAATTGAGGAAGTAAAGGATGTATTAGGTATTCTGTATGGAAAATGTACGCGGCGTATGAAGTGCAAATTTGGACTTGTATAGCTGCACATTTTGTATATGAGCTTTTGCACTAGCTAGCTAGCTTTAAGTGCTAATGATATTAAATAAGTTGAAAAATGTGTTATTCTGTCAAATGAACTCATAGTATGTATTTTTAAATACAGAATCCGTTGAGGGAAGTGATGGGGAAGATGTTGAGGGCGAGTATGATGCTAAAGCATCCAAGAAGAGGGAAAAGAAGCGCCAAGAGCGGGAAGCACAACGACAAGTATTCTTTCTTTCTTTTACTTCCTGATTTGAAGGATTGCACATACTCTCTCTCCCCCTCTCCGGTCCTGATTAAAATTTCTAGTTAATGTGTCCTGTCCTGTCCTGAATACCCAACAGGCCTTAAATTTTAGCGAGTTTCTAATTATCCAACTATCTACATTGAGTAATAAAGACAGAAACCACTTCTATGTAGTCACTGAGGTGTAGGACATGTTAGAAGTTTGATTACTACATCATTCAATCGATTTAAATTACCGAAATGGTGGAAGTAACTGAAACCTTCAATTGCGTTTATGCTTATGCTCTCGGAGGATCCTTGATTATGGTTTACTTGTACTGCTTTTATATTATTTTCTTCCCTTTTCCCTTCAATCGAAGCACAAGTAATTATTTACTTGAGTCCGTTCTTTATTTGAAGGCTGAACAAGCTGCACGTGAATCAAGGGTAACAAAACAAGACCGCTATGCTGAAATGCGGAGGAGGAAAGATGAGGAGCGTGAAGCACAGGAGCGTCAGCTGGTGCGTTGACGTCTCTCTTTTGTTTCTGTTTTGGAAAATGAGGATGTGTATTATTGTGTTGTTAAGTTACTGCCCAAAGATTTGGCCACGGTTTTGTAGGAGGAAGAAGCCAAAGCTCAAAAGGCTAGGGAGGAGGAAGCTGCTGCTTTAGAGTTTGAGAAGTGGAAAGGCGAGTTTTCAATAGATGCTGAAGGTATGACCGAGAATGAAGTGCAGGATGGATGTCAGGATTTGCTTTCTGATTTTGTGGAATACATAAAGGTAGAGTTCAGTTAATTCATTCAAAGATATTGTTCCATACTCTAGCCCCCTAATATCTCCATCGCCATCGGGTTGCACAAAACTAGGGATGAAATGGAGCTTCTAAGTTTTGGGGGTTTAAGGTTGGGTTGTAGTTTCTAACTTATCCAATCCAGTTTAGAGTTTATTAATCTTTTAACTGTTTGTGTCGTTTTGTTTCTATTCGAGACATGAGGCTTTCAAGTTGAGTTGTGATTTTGTTATTAATACTACTGTTAATTTTGACATTGCAGAAACATAAATGCATTCCTCTGGAAGATCTTGCTGCTGAATCTAAGTTAAGGACTCAGGTAACTTATATTTATCCTGAAGTAACACATAAATCAGCAATTTTCATGTCTTCTTCGTGCCTCAAAGTGCATTAATAGATGAAGTTTTAATTTGAAATTTAGTAAGGCATATGGAAGTATATTTTCTGAAAGTGATTAGTCAACTTAATTTGCCAGATTTGGCTTACTAATTTTTCAATGCAACTGATGGTTCATGCAGGAATGCATCTATCGAATTACCAATCTCGAGAGTATGGGTATGTGCAGAGCTATTTCCTCAGTGACTTGTGGTACCTAATGAATAATTCATTCCTTTGCTTCAGAAGGTAAAATACCTTTTCGTTGAGAATGAAAATGTTGTATTTGTCTGTGTTAGGGCGACTTTCTGGCGTCATGGATGACAGAGGGAAATACATATACATCTCCCAAGAGGAGATGCAAGCTGTAGCAGACTACATTAAGCGTCAGGGAAGGGTAAGCATTTCGCATCTTGCTAGCAAGTCCAACCAGTTCATAGACTTGGAGCCAAAAGCGCAGTTCGTTGAAGAAATCAGCGGCGGGACGGAGATAACTGTCGCTTGATTTGGTTAAAGTAATGAAAATCGTGCACACTGAATTAACAGGATATGTAACCATAAGAGATCGTAGGGGTAGGTTTCTTAATTAGCGTTTTGATATTATCTTCGGTTATAGCTGTGTTGCCTTGTTTATTGTACTAACTGGATACCCTAGTTCCCAAGTATTAGCGGGGAGCTAACTTCTTGAACAAATAATGACTGTGCTGCGGATAGGCGTGGAAGAAAGCAATTCAATTAAAATTATATGAAAATATAGGGGTACTCTTTATTGAAAGTGAGCACTTTAAACTACTTGAGCTACAAGTCATTCACGCAATTATATCCATTATAGAATTAATAAAGGGTAATTAAAATACTGAAAAAGTAAGAAAGAAGATAGAACCGACTTTTTAGCAAAAATTGTCTCTGAGATTGGATCTCCTTACTTTGGTCTTTGACAATGATAATTGATAAAAGCAGTATTTGAGTTTGTCCATCGTAAATCAATTTGGTCATTTTGTGATAAAAGTTGTCAATATCTTTGTTAAATTGTCACGTAAACAACTACGTGTTTACCTTTCCAAAGAGTATTTTTGTCAAACCAACATCTCAACTTAACAAGAATATTGAACGTATTTTTCATTGAATGACCAAAATGATGTAGAGTAGACAAAATTAAGAACCACTTAATCTCAGAAAACATTTTGGCTAAAAATCTAGAACAAAATAAACCTAGCTAGGATCCCCATAGCTACTGATTTTTCATGCCAATCCCTTTTGTGCAGCACATCGCATAGTGATATCCAACACAGATTCGACTCTTTCACATTTTCATGCCAATTTATATTTATTTTAGTACTTGAACTTTGTGATTACTAAAAATAAAAAAAATGATTGGTTCGAAGTGCCATGTCGGCAATCTGAGGTGAGCAAACTAGTCCAATGCAAGTTATGTGACATGCAGTTTTTGCCAGCTCAAAACAGTTAATTAGAAGGTTATCACAGCAACCGTTTCGGTGGTTTCGGTCCGAAAACAAGAAGAGAAAAGAAAAACTCAGAAACGGCATAGTTTTCGATACCGAAATCTATTTACAGCGTGTGTATCAGATATATTTCCGTACAATGTCTACCAGAAATCAAACAGTATCGGTTGCATGGACAACGTTCCGAACCTGCCGCTAAAACTAGCGGAAGAAAATAGAGCTTGACCCAGTCTTTTAATGTCGCTCCTCTTCTTTTACCTAGCCATCTCTCTCTACCCTGGGGTTTACACAGACCTCCCAGGGCCTCATAGCATCTCTCACTCGCCGCGTCCTCGCGCGGCCGCCTACCGTTCAATAGATCTCTCTCTCTCTCTTTCTCTCTGTCTCTCTCCCAAGCGACACACGAAACAACCCTCAACCTCGAAAAATAGACAAAAACAAAAAGAAAAGATTTGAAACCTCAAAGCTCGCTCCACATTATTGTAAAAAGCAATGATGGAAACAAGTAATATGGGCATGAAAATACCCTGGACGTCCCGCGCGTCCTTTCTTCAAGCAATGCTCGTGGTGTTTTTGGTGTTTTCATGTTTTAGGGTTGAGATTTGTTACGGACAAGACGAAGATGCTGTTGTGGCAGCTCCTCCTCCCGAGCAAGAAGACTGTGATGGCATTTTCTTGTCGTACACGTTTACCTCCAGGGAGAAGGAGTTGCCGCACACGAAAAATGTGTCGGCACAGGCTTGGGCGTTCAAGTCGGAGGCGACGATCTTGAACGCCGGGTCGACCGAGCTCAAGGCGTGGAAGATGTACATAGGGTTTCAGCATCGGGAGATCTTGGTGGCCGCGGAAGGAGCTCAGATGGTTGACGGTGGTGATTTGCCCGTCGATGTTGGAACCAAAGGGGCATACTTTGCCGGGTATCCAATGACAGATTTGAAAACTATGATTGATACCGCCGGAGATTATACCCAGATTCAGGCTAAGATTGCGTTCAAAGGGACGCAGTTTGGGATGGGAGAGAAGTCTACTCCGATGCCCAAGACCATCTCCATTGTCAATGATGGCTTCAAGTGCCCTGCTGCTAAATTTAAAGGTAATTAGTTAATTAATTATAAGGTTGTTTGTGTTATTAATGATAATGTTTAACATGCATTACATTACATGTGATGTTTTGAGAAATATGTTTGCAGAACATAAGATTTTATGAGATTCAGATTGAATATTTTGATTTCGATCAAATTGGTGTTCTTATTTCTGGGCTTTACATCTTTTAGGACGATCGATTAGATTGAACATCAAGAAATGTATATGGTTTTTAGTCCAAGATATATTAATGCTATTAAGTAGACATATAAAACTTGAAAAGAGTATCAATTCAGTTCCTAATTCTTCCAATGACTCTGTTGTCAAACCGTGATCTCAATTCCATAAATCTCTTCATACTTGTATTATGTAAATATGTGTTAGTTACTATTTTCTTTGTCATATTGTATACGGTCAACTTTCTAACTATATATATAAAACTGACATCAACACTCTCTCTAATACATGTGAGCTTTACCTGTGAATAATAATGTCAATATCATATGTCGAATTAACACTATTCCAATTCACTATCTGACAAGATAACAAATCAAATATTTTGGCAAAAAGAACATACTAATATACGAACCTTGAAAGGGTTCAAATGCATGCATTGACGCATATCCTTTTTGTTTTCCTCATGCAGGGAAGACTGCAATGTCTGTGTGCTGTAAAAAGGACCCAAAATTCAAGGCGAAGAAAGTCGAGAAAACCAAATTCATGCCACGTCAGAACGGGGATCTCTCAATCACATACGATGTAATGCAAACCTACACAATGAACTACCTGGCTCAGGTCACCATCGACAACGTCCACCCGCTCGGCCGCCTCGACCACTGGAACTTAACCTGGGAATGGATGAGGGGAGAGTTCATCAACACCATGAGAGGAGCCTACACTCACAAGAAGGACACAAGTGCATGCCTCTACGGCCAAGCCGGAAAATTCTACAAGGACTTGGACTTCTCTCAGGTCATGAACTGTGAAAAGAAGCCCGTCATCACCGACCTCCCAGCCGAGCGAAAGGATGATCCCAAGGTCGGCAAACTGCCCAGCTGCTGCCGCAACGGGACCATCTTGCCGAGCCTCATGGACAATGCACAGTCCCAGTCCATTTTCCAGCTGCAAGTGTTTAAGATCCCACCCGACGACAACAGAACTGCCATAACTCCACCTCAGCAGTGGAAAATCAGTGGCGTTCTGAACCCTACTTACAGATGCGGGCCCCCTATTAGGGTTGACCCTACTCAGTTCCCCGACCCAAGTGGGCTCCAGGCCACGTCAGACGCCATTGCCAGCTGGCAAGTGGTGTGCAACATCACCAAAACCCCGGTCCCCAGATGCTGCGTCTCGTTTTCGGCTTATTACAGCACCTCTGTGATTCCATGCAGCACGTGCGCGTGCGGGTGCAAAACATCTGAGACGAACAAATGTAACCCTAAGGCTTCCGCCATGCTTTTGCCTGCCGAAGCTCTCCTCGTGCCATTCGCAAACAGAACCGAGAAGGCAAAAGCATGGGCCAAAATCAAGCACTACGACGTGCCTAAAAAGCTTCCGTGCCCTGACAACTGCGGTGTCAGCTTGAACTGGCACATCGACTCTGATTACAGCAACGGGTGGACCGCCAGGCTCACTCTCTTCAACTGGGGAACCGACCAGTTTCAAGATTGGTACACCGCGGTGAAGATGAACAAGGCCTACCAGGACTACGAAAACGTCTACTCCTTCAACGGTACGAGGATGGAAAAGGAAGTCAACAACACAATCTTGTTCACAGGGCTCAAGGGTTTGAACTACTTGGTGGCGATAAAAAACGGGACGGATCCGAAAAAGAATCCGATGATCCCCGGGAAGCAGCAATCGGTGATTTCGTTCAAGAAGAAGCACTATCATAATATCGATATCAAAGCGGGTCAAGGGTTCCCAACGAGAGTGTTGTTCAATGGAGAAGAGTGTGCTCTTCCTAAAGTGTTCCCCAAGAACAATGCAGGGCATCTCAAGTCTAATGCTCTTTTGGTCCTATGTTTAGCCATCATGTCTTTCCTTTTCATGACAAATCGCTTCCACTAACCATCAGCAAGGCTAGTTCTATCTGCAGGTAATTAGTAGTTAATTGTATATAAATATCTAATTAATTATGTTCATCAATCGCAATTGTCATTGGATTATATGAATAAATGAGGTTCAAAGTGGAAATATAAACAAAATGAAATGTTAATTATAACGTCAATTAGGGCTAGCTTTTGTTTTTCTATTTAGGCCCTACGTAGATTTGAACCCTATGTCGCTTTTCAAATAAAGTAAAGACTGAGTGACGCTACACCAAACAGTGATGACCACCAGTTACAAAAGATAGTATTTTTGAGTTAGTTTCAGTAGCTAGTTAAAGATTATTGATATATCTAGCTTTCACTAGCTAGAAAATTAATTAATTAGTTTTAATATTTCTGAGAATTCATGATTAATGACGGATTTATTTGTTTTGTCATCCTCATGTGATGGGTGTTGTCTGACGTCAGCTGCAAGAAGACCGGTGTTTATGCACTCAAGGCTGATAAAGAACTATGTATGAGTGACGATGCTACCATGATTTCGAGGCCCGTCCATGCATACTCGAACTCGAGACACATAAAGCAGATGATGAAGAGATTGTAACGAGTCACAAAACAAACGTTATGATAATTTGAATAAGATTTTATGTGCGTAGCTATTATATACAAATCATGAGGATGGATTCGCGTGGTCTTTTTGTTTTCCTAGCATTTTTTTGTGTGTATCTAGGATCGATGCAGTCTCTAATGTTTGTAGCAGTTCCAAATGTTGGAACAGGGTAACTAGAAAATTCAAGATAACATATTACAATACAAACATCGATTTTTAAGACAAGCCAGATTGATACATACGCACACATATAGATGAACATGTGTGTTAATTTCCAATGAACACTGAAATAATCATAATAATAATTCAATCGCTAAATGATCATCTCTATTAGCTGGTCTGTGGAAAGGATGATGAACCTAAATTTGTATCATAGGACTATGGTCATTAATTAGTATAGTACAAATCCACTTTTAAGGATTTGGCACTAATCTAATTAGTTCATGAAAATACTTGTTAATGTCCTGGTAGAGAAATTAAGATGGCAGCTTGTTTGAGGGGTTCTTTCGGGTTGGTCTCCCCCTCATCGTGGCATTTTCAAACTCGATATTGGTGGCGGCAAGTTTCCCTCTGCAATACCACTTCCCCGAAACATGCAGATTTCGAGCATTTTACTTCGAATTGAAACTGTCCTTAGATGCTGGTTTTTCCTAACCAGATGCTCTATCTGTGAGAGCAGAAAGATCCTGCCTCTGATGGTAACCTCTTTGAGGAAGTTAATTAAGGGGTGCATGGATCTGTTTCGTAAGATTTCAATTTATAATTTCCTAGAAGTTGTAATAATGTGGCCCATACATAAGCAAAACATTCTCTAAACTATTATGATGTTGTTACCTGGGGTGAGGAGCTCCTCCTAGAATTCCTTATTGAATGTTGTGTATAACTAGAAATAACTATATACCATTTTTTTACTTTCTTTTTTAATACAACTATATTGGAGGAAGAGATGTGGGCTAGTCAAATAACGGGTCAACCATAAATAAATATCGAACTTGTCATTCCTTGGAGTTGTACATAAAACTTTACACTAAACCGCAGTACTAGTGAAGACTATACTACACATTTAAGCTAACGTCAAATTCTCCAGTGGTCATTCTTTCCTTGTTTATGATAAGTTAATACGGGACTATACCAGAACTGACATTTATATCCATGCCTCCTCTCAATATACAACAATCTAAGAGTCTGTTTGATAACTATTACGTTCCTTTATTTTTATTTTTTATGCTTGTAAAATGAAAAACGTATATTCGGGAAATGAGGGATGAAGAAGGATGATGAGTGAGGATAAGAAATGAAAAAGAAAGAGCACAACCTTTACCGACGCAAACTATCCTGACTTTTGAAAGTAGGTTTAGTCAGTCAGCATGGTTCATATTGCCTACACTAGAGTAGGTTCAGTCAGTGTGGATCATTCATGCAAGAGGAAAGAGATTCTCTCCTGATCTCTTTCACCAAGATCATTGGATTAAGTGATCGTTATCTTTGAAATTTAATCCAACGGCTAAAAACAAAGGTTTCCTTGAAAAGTTATAATAACTTTAGCCGTTGGATTAAATTTTAAGGATCCAGATCACTTGATCCGGTGGTCTTGGTGAAAAAGATCTATTTCCCATGTAAGAAACCATTTCTCTTATATGACGACATGACAACATTTTAGAGTACAAACATTATAATTTAAAATTTTCATTTTCTTTATCATTTAAATCTTATATCTACAAAATTCATTAAGCTTGGAGACCGTTTGGTCATTTATATATAACGTGATTATGTAATGAATGACTCTTTATACAACGAATCATCAATTCATTCATCATGGCTAAACAATTTCCAAGTTAAAAAGGTTTTTAGAAATGATCTTTATATAATTTGGGAATAATAAAATAATATTACATGGTTATGTAATGAATGACTCTTTATACAACGATAGAAGATACGTGACAAGACTCAGTTTGAATAAGTGCCTGGCCTATTATTTAACTTGTTAAATGCTCACTTATTATAAAAAATTAAAAAATAAAAGTCATATCTTGCACTCTTGAAAAGGCATGTATTGGGATTGCTTCTGAAAAGACTAGAATACGTTATGACAATAAAAAATGATTTCAACTATCTTTGGCCGAAAAATTTAAACGTGCTTTTCTAGATTGTAGACATGCTTCCAGAAAGCACTTGGATTTTCGACATAAAGAAAACTTCTACATATTTATAATAAAAGTATTTCGAACAAAAGCGCTTACAAACGTAATTATTTCCTATAAACGAGCCCTAAATTTGCCAACTTGTGGCCAATCTTTTCATTTCTAATTCTTTTGTTGTGTTTATGTTGCAATGAACTTTTGTGTAGGTTATACCTATTGCATTTTCACTTCTTTCTAAACACAGACACACTAGGAGAACTACCCACATCTTTTCCCAATATAATTAAGGAAAACTAATAAAAAAAGCTTGAAAACTTTGAGTTTTAATGATAAGGACAAAATAAAGGGTAAAGTGAATAGTACCAGGATTGACTTTTTAGTGTAAAAATATGGTTTTTCGTTAAAGTGAACAATACCGGGTGCTTTTCGTTAAAGTTCCCATATAATTACTGAATGAAAAAAATTAAGTGCCTGCACTAACTGCATATGGTTATGAGAGGAAGGAAATACAAGAAGACATTTTCAGAAAGAAAACTGCAAGTTAATTTCATGTCTTAGGGTTGGAGCACTGCATAAGCTTCAGCATTTTCCAGCCCTCATAATATCATTACGAACAACGTATCGTTATACAAAATATAGGCCTCGGTTCGGTTATGGTTGTACAAAATATAGGCCTATAAAGAATGTTTGTAATGTACAATTAATTTGGACTAATCTCACAAACAACAATTTCTATTGGGAATATTTTGCACAGTGGACCAACTGTGCAGCTCTCTCAACTCTAAGCCAAGATCATGTGCAAGTAAATTATAATCTCTTGCCAAATCAGGTAAAAAACAATGTAAGCAACATCGTCTTACTTTTTTCGGGTGGCTAAAAAATCGTGTGTAAAGTGATGCTATGTCTTCTTGGGCGCCTGCAGTAACAAATCAACGAATGATGTTGCAACTTTGAGTGATTAATATAAGAACATTTGAAATGAGCGCACGCACACGCACAAGAAATGCACAAATATAGACATGAAAATTGAATAGCAACATTCTACACTGCTAAAAAATAAATTGAAGTACCTTTTTCAGATATTTCTTGTGGAGTTTCAATGCCCCAGTGCAAGCTTTTTTGGCATCTAAATTTCCAGTTATGTCATTCAATATCTGGCAGAGAGAATGAGTGAGGTAAACGGGTAAAAGTTGTACAAAAATTAAGATCCAACTCATTTAAATGAAAAATTGATAGCTCGAGTATTTGTTTATCAAACGGATCAAAGATTCTTCACCAGTCCCTAACGACTCTAGAGAATTATTTTGAACTTCTCCCTTAGGGCGTTAGAAATGGCCTAAAGACAATTTTAGTCCATGCAGTTTGCTAGGGCTTCCAATTTCGTCCTGAAAAACTCCTAACTACATCCTCGTAGTTAACATTAGGTTGCAATCAAGCCAAAAATCCTTAAAATGATCACTTTTAATGTTTTCTTTTAGGGATTAGACAACGCATTTGAAATTTTTAAGAACCGTTGAGGTAAAACCATGTCAAATTCATGGTCCAATCCCTTACAAAACAACATGAAGATGTGATCATTTTTTAGGGTTTTGATCTTGATTGCAACCTAATGTAAGCTGTAAAACTACACAGAAAAAATTGGAAACCCAAGATAATAACATTGGAACAGTTTCATTTGGCTTTTAGAATTTATATGTAATCATTTGTGAAAGAACAAAACGATAGCAACATATTCTTCTCCGAACCATGTTTGACTACCATAGCTGAATCCACTTTTTCAAGGAAAGATTTAATAGGGTTGGCTGATAAATGTCGCCGCTCCAGTCTCCTATTCCTATTTTTTTCATACTTCATTTCACATTTCAGAGTAAATTACTATATATCCCAAATCCACGCAACATCCTGGACCCTAGTTTGGCCAAGGCCAGCGGATTCTTACTATGAGTAATTCTTGTTTATTGTTTTAGATGAATTTATCACTAGGCTGTCCCCACATGGACATGTTTTCTGCTTAAGTCATGTAATATCATTCTCAATATAATCCGAAAGTCAATCGGTTCTAAGAATTGCAAATTGTCAACTGATAATGCTAACCTTAACAACATCATCGAGACCCCGAGCTTCTGTAAGTAGCTTTGAGCTCTTATCTTTCAGGACACTGGCAACAAGGAAAACTGAAATTGGGAGCGGTGCTTCTGAATTCTTTGCTCCACTTTTCATGTTTTCCCTCTCATACTTCCCACACTGACGTGTTGACTTTGGTTTCCCTTTAGGCCCCTCAGCCTTCTCAGTATCAGGATCAGATTCTTTGTACACATTGAACAAGTCAGGGTCGTATTCAAGGGCCCACATCATCTGTCAAAGTTTAAATGAGATCAATTCTTACCAATATAAATAAGTTCTTTTAAGTTCGGGATGCACCATAAGAAATGTGCAATAGTTATTATAAAAATATACATAACCATATATACTTACACACAAATAACAAGGATATATTTGGGCAAAAAACGAAAAAAGAAAAAGCAATATCTATATAGCTACAGAAATTTACTGCGCACGACGCCCTTTCTTCATTATAGAGCAGAAGTGCATAGATACTATTCAATCAGGAACACATATATCCCAATCACACAAACAAATGCTCTGGGGTATTGGTCTTTAATATCAAATGCGTGCAATAGTTCTTAAAACCTATGTTCAAAAAGTACTTGTCAAGTAAGTATTAGCTTGCCAACTTTTAGTCGGAAGAAATAAGGTCTAATACAAAAATTTCTGCATGTATTAAAATTCAAGGAACTATATATAAGTGGAATTATGGAGAAAATTTTGATTACTTAGGAAAGAATGAAGTGGGTTCCCAGAAATAATTTCAAGGATTCTGTAAAAGTATTTATACATGCAATAATTAGATATAATAAAAAAAATCCAAAAGGGAGAACAGAAAAATATCAGAAAGTTACTAACAGTAACTTATTCTCACCTCCCAAAGGTATAAAGAATCACAAAAAGAGAATTCTCGACGGAACAAAACCATAAGCATCCGGAAAGCAAATAAATAGTCACCTCCACCTAGTGTCTCTGCAC